TACTTTAAGAAAAGTAGAAATATAATTATCCTCTGGACTAATCTTGATTATAACTGGCTGTACCCTATTGTTTTCTTCCTCACTATTATCAATAGCACCTTTTTTAATTTGAAAACTATTTTTAGATTTTGCCCCTATTTTCCCGTAATAATTCCATTTTAGAATTTCTTCCTTTGATTTAAATCTTCCCATCATCTGTTGCCACATCCATTCAAGAATATTAAGACTATAAGCTCTTTCTATAATAAATGGCCAATCATATTCGGAATTACTAAATCCGAGTTGAATATCAGGGATGAAGGCTTTCCAGCATAATGCGAATGCTTTCAGTAAATTTGTCTAGTTCCCACATACAACTGTTATCCATCGTGGATCTGGTGCAGTTTCAAGATCGACAAAACAGATTTGTTTTAACGGTCTTGGATCGTCTTTCCAATACAAGGTTATACAAATCATGAATACGATACTTTCTTCATCCTGTATTTCTGCAAATTCACCCAACTCTCGTGATTGTGTTTCTATATTCTATGTAAGGATAAGCGTATGATCTCTCATGAGTGCTGAAATTGAAAAACGGTCACTTATCATTTTTAGATTTTCTACTGGCCGAAAATCGTTTATAGAAACCCAAAAATCATATGTATAATGGGAATGTTTCATGTATCTATACTTGCTTATTATAGACCAACCAGAAATCGCAATTTCATTTTCTCTAGCTATTTTACGGTGGAATGAGAACATATCATTTAAAGTGGTTTCGAAATTGTTATCTTGGATAGCTTGGAGAGCTTTCTTCCTATCCCCACTACCGAGTGTAAAAATTCGTAAATATAACTTTTTTTCTATATGATAACCACGCAAGGGGAAGACCTTAATATGTTCTATTTTATAGATGTTTATCGTATTACTAAGAATTTCATCTATTTTTATCCTAAACTCATTTACAGTTTCATTATCGGTTACAAGTATATCAAAGAAAATCTGGATTCCTGTAAGAGTAACTACCGCTTTTTGGCCATTGATGAGAGAGCCGTAAAGACGTAAAACATAATGATTTTTTTCACCTAT